TTTTTTCCCTCTTTTCCTCCCAAACTAAGTGTCAATCCTGGCAGCCACTTAGATGAGGAAAAAAAGCCCATGCATAAATTAAGAACTAAAAACAGAACTAAAATAAGCATTAGCGCCCACATCAAAGGTAGAGGCCAATTCGTTGGAACCCACCGTTCCCTACAAGAACGCTAGCGTAGGACGCAGGAAGTATTTCATGTTTTGAAACTGGTTCCCTCTCTTCCACCTCTCGGTTATGGGACCTCAGTACACATTACTGTTAATCACTTAAGACCACTTTATAGCGGCAGGTGTGAGAGGGATTAAAAAGGAAAAGCCTTCTACAGATTTTTTTTACTTGGAAAAGCAAGAGTTCAATTACTAGAGTAAGACTTTATTACTGACCTCTTCCCTCCCCCAAAACATATTTGCCTGAACCGCGGAGGGCCGAATTCTAGTCTGCAAGGCAAACTCGACCCACTCCACACAGCTCTCCGCATGCGGCCCATGGCATTTTTTTGCAAACGTGCCCTCTCCTTGGATCAAAAGGAGACCTTGAACACTGGAAACGTCAGTTCTCATGGGCTGCAATCCGGTAGTAAAAATCAAGAGAGCAGCACCCAGACACGTTTCAGCTACATTAAGACTCGAGCCCTCGGGGAAGGGAAATCCTTTATTTACTGTCATCCATCTTCCAGACATCTTGTCTATATTCTTCGAGCAGGTGGCCAAGCAGTTGGGATTGAGCTGGGTTTTTTTTAACTGCTGTGCACGCAGACGAGCCGTTGCCTCTCTGCGCACCGCAACCCCTACGGCAGAGGGGCTGAGATCGCCCCTCGCCTGGCGTTCCTCGCAGCGACACAGCGCCCGGAAACCTTAGCAATGCTGAGAAAGGCTTGCAAATGCGCACACACTCACACACACACGTATCTCCAGCTTCAGGGCGGCTCACAAATGCTTGCTGGAAACGTGACTGGAGCTTGCGGAGCAGGTCGGCAGGTTCAAACCTGCTGCTGTCCTCTGGGCTCCCCTGGACCAGTACAGCTGCAGCCCTTTGCGCGTTTACAGCTGCTTCTCGCAGGGCGAGCGGGACGTGCCAAGCCTTCGGGCTGAAAGCTCCCACCTCACAGAGGTCTCAGGCGTGACCAGGCGAAAGAAGGGACTTCTTAAAAGGTCTGGTTCTGTGAAGGGAAGAGGAGAGTGCATACCTACCATCCAGCTGGTATAAAAGGCAGCCCCAGCCTGCCAGTTTGCAGCTTATTGAAAAGAAAAGGTGGGCTACCTTCTCGATTGAGGTTGGAATGAAATTCAGACACTGTTCCAGCAGAAAATTAAGTCTTGAGAGTGATCTTATTAGGAAAAAAAAAAAAAAAGAGGAATATAGGAAGTCTTCTACAAGACCTACTACCTCTCTTCACTCCTTTTGACTAACAAGCTTAGTATTAAAAAACCTGTTTTTATTGAAAGATGAAGATGAGAACACAGATACATCAAGGATGGGAGCGTTCATTTCCGAAAAGTCTTGAAGAATCTGACAGAGCTGGGATGAGAAAAACAAACTCAAAAGCCCATCTCTCGCGGTTGTACCGCATCAAACTAACAAATGACAGGGATACTTTTGGGTCTAGAAGTTAATCCAGAATCACTGGTAGAAAGGACTGAAACTGGGTACCATCTCCCAGCACTGCAGGCTGAAAACCTAGCTCAGCTGGCCCATAGATGAGGAGTCGCTAGCACTGAAAGGTGCTCCCGGCTAGGGATGAGCAGGCGAGCTCTAACTTCAAGAACATTTAACATCCACACGGTGAGGTGCAGGTATGCATGAGTCAGGTCACAAAAA